TGAATCGTTTGAAACTTTGTTGATCTCCAGCCTCGCACGGGCACGTGGTCCATGTATACAAATTCATCACCCACTGTTTCGCGGAGGTTTTGGTGGTTGGGGCGGTTCTGTTTGGCTCAACGTATTTCTCTTCAGAAAATTGAAAATTTGAATAAATTTGCAAAATCAAAATACCCAATTGCCTTATTTCTAAGAACCAATATCATCATCTAACAGCAGAAGCACAAGACATACACTGACGCATAAATAAACCAAAAAAAATATTTAAAATAAAATTAAACTATATATTATATACAATACGTAATATATTTAAATTGTATAATTAATGATAAATATATATATTCTTATTATAGAATTATATAGTTTTATTTAAATTTATAGATATTTTCATTTCGTTTCATGAACGGCAGAGGTTCTTCTGCCCGTTTTGGGCTGCAACTGTCGTGATAATCGGACATTTCGAGAACGTCGAAGCCCACATCCGCTGAAGCGAAAAACTGAAATCTAGCGAGCTTTGTTAAAAGCAACACCGAACAGATCATTCAAATCTGGTGTCTGTTCCATCGTTGTCGTTCGACAGATGGGCATGGTCCATCTTAGATGCTGCAAAATATGAATGTTGAAAATCCATTACACATTAGGCAGGCCCACAACTGAGCACGAAGCACGCTAACAATGTAGCGATGATTCCCAGGGTTGGACCATACCTAATTTGCCAAGGTTCGAATCATCTCCGCAGCTTCTGTGCTATGGCGTTTGCCAATGGGCTCCTCTGAAGGCCGGTGGGCCGGTGACGCATAGTCACCAGCTGGGTCTGCCCGTTGCCGCATAGCTGATTCACCAAATTGTAGAGCTCCGAGCTCTCGGGTATCCTGACAGAAATGTCTAGGTGCCATGGGTTTCATGGCCGCAAATTTGTGAATGACATGGGTCTGAGTTGTGGTCCCATCCAAGAAAATTCCAATGATTAGAGCTGGTCAGGATTTGGCATGTCCTCAACCCTTTAATCAAGGCGTCTTCTGGTGCATCGAACTTGAGAAATTGGGTTCGTTTCAAAAATTCCTCCATCAAAGTTCGAAACAGGACTGCTCTCAAGGGCTGCTGAACACCGTCTCCTTATTTTTGCGTATACCAATCCTTGGAGGCCTGCAGAAGGAGTGGCATCACACTGCCCTTCCCACATTGCAGGAACATTATGAAGGACCTATCCATTGCCAGCCCGTTCAACTGATCCTTCTGTCGAAGGCAAAGGCGAGCAAGCATGAACGTGAGTTTTCGGTCGTCCGACGAAGAGGCCGAGGAATTGTACGATCTGTTAGATCTATTTGGTCCAAATCTCCGGTCGAATTGTCCAGATTGCTCCGTTCGCGGTCGTTTCCCAAAGTGTTCCCCACAAAATTCCATGAGATCGTGAAAATTCTGATCGTCTTGTTGCATGCTCTCTGGCATACTTGTCAGGCATATGTGTGCCAAATCGGATGTTTTGGGCCAGTGTGAGTTTAATTTGGTACAGAATGGGTAATACATGCAAAAATTGATCATATTCCGTCTCTAGGATGTACATCTGGTCATATGCTATCAAATCCCAATCATCCGAGGTCCAGGCCCATGCGATGGGAAGCTATTGGGTTATGTACTAAAGCAGACTGCAAATCCAGGTGAGGTCAAGGTAAACCTAAGGCAGGTCGTTCCAGTCCAAATCAGGTCATCAAATGCAGGTACGTGCCAATGCAATTTATATTCTGGCCAAAAAATCAATGAAGGAGTCAAGGCAACCAGGCATGGGTTTACAAGTCCTTACGAAAATATATCTGGTTTATTAAACGTCCAAGATCCCCAATCAGTCCCGGCGGAGCAAATTGCATCTTCTTCACTTGGAAGGCAGGGATAATACAATTATTAAGAACAATAGGGGCTCCAAAATGCAAATCCGAGACCATCTAACAGAGGCATACAGGGCTTACTCGACACTAAGAGTGGCCTTACAATAAACATACGTCAATCTGCCTTAGGAAGACGTCGCGCATAGCATTAAAATCAAATTCAACAGGTCGATCAAATTGATGACATATGCGCAAATAAGATGCGACTATTTTCCAAGTGCTATGCCTGCCACGAAATTTGCGTATGAAGTTCATAATCTGCACATGGAGGTTTCCAAAGTGCTATGCCTGCCACGAAATCTGTACCTCGAAGCTCACAAACTACTACGCCTGCCACGAAATCTGCACATAAAAAAATTCCCAAAGTGCTGTGTCTACAGCGAAATCTACACATAGAAATTCCGAAAGTGCTACACCTATCACGAAATCTACACATAAAGATTCGCAAAGTATTACGCCTATAACAAAATCTGCATATAAAGGTTCATAAAGTGCTACGCCTGCCACGAAATCTATACATAGACGTTTACAAAATATTACGCCTACCACGAAATCTACCCAATATTAATTAGAACTAAAGCTAATTAAATAATAAATAAAATATAATAATTAATATATAATAATTAATATTTAATAAATAATATTTAATAAATAGTATTTAAAAATTAATATAAAATATTTAATAAAAACTATATTAATCAATAATATATAATATAATATATAAATAAATAATATATTAATAAATAATATATAAACCTTCTTAAATATCTATAATACGGAAATTTCGTATATTAAACATAAATCGAATAATTCAATTCGAATACAAAAAATTTTGTTTTCGATATTAAATATATTCATTAAAAATCTTCCAAATTGTTTATAAAATACTATTATACAAAAATACAACATTTTATTACTTTATAATTTATTTCTTATTAAAATAAAAATACATAAATATATTCGAATTTATTATAAAAAAAATATATATATCGAATTATACATTTTTCTTTCTCCATCTATATAACAATTTCTATTTGCTATCATTACTTTTTCGTAAATAGATAAACAAAACAATTATATAAAGAATATCTTCTTCCAACCCGCGCTGGCAAAGGTCCAACAAACAGAAAAATTAAAAACAATAATACAAATAAGAACAAAAATCAAAGAACGAAACGCCATACATATCGCTCATTCGCGCTAAAATCACTTCATTCGCGATCGACAATCAAACACGCCAATTTGATTATGAAAGGGCCACGGCGCACGTCCAAAAAAGCGTATATGCGCAAAACTTAATAACTCTCTCGCACGCGCAACAAATCAAGACATACATAAGCTTATTGCTGCGTTGGAGCGGCGCCTTTCTCATGAACATTTTACACCGGATGGCCTAAGGCCTACCAAGGCCCGGTACTGTTAAAATAGCACCTTCCGCCTCTAAGCTTTCGGGCGGCTTGCCAATCACAAAAAGCCTACGCCGTTAGAATGACCTTCCTATTCTGAATCACAAGGCATGGGCTGTTGGAATGGCCACCTTCCCCATCTAAACTTTACCATCGGGTTAGGGTGGCGCCTCTAAGTTTCGCCCTCGGGTTGCTGAATATTTCAATCTCGGGTGGGTCACAAAAAAGGTCTGCTACATTAGAATGGCACCTTCCTCTTCTAAACTGTACCTCGGGTGGCTCACAACATCGAAACGGCAACTTCTTCATCTATATAAATAAATTCCACCGTCTGGTGGCGCAAAAGGTCTACGCAACAGGCCTGCGCCGTTGGAGTGGCACCTTCCTCTTCTAAATTTTGAACCCGGGTGGCTCACAAATAGTCTGCTCCGTTAGAAGTGCGCCTTCCTCCTCGACTCTAAGCTTTACCTTCGAGTTGCTCAGAAAAGGTCTACGTTGTCCTGCTCCTCTAAACTTTACCTCGGGGTGGCTCACAAAAAGTCTGCGCCGTTAGAACGCCCTCCTCTAGTTTTACTCCCGGGTTGCTCACTCGGTTCAAAGACCTGGCGCGCCACAGCCTAATGACAGCAAGAACTCAAATCTCTACTTCGCGCACACACCGTGAGTAGCGACGAAGCGGAGCTGATTCTGGAGCAAGTTGCGGAGCTTCCCCAGCAGGTTTCAGAGCTGATGAGTCGCCTTTCGTGACTTCAAAACGACATCGTTGAGGAGGATTGCTGAGGCAACTGTTTGGATATCTTTCGCGGCCTCATCGCGAAGCATGGTCCTACAACCATGTCTAGCTAACGTGAGCCGGAACATGTCATAGTATCGCAAAATAGGGACAGAGATCTTGCAGCATGACCCCAGGAGAAGGTTGAACGTTTCCACAGCTACTCAGGGTCACTTGCAGCATCTGTGCGACAATTGTGCCAAATAGAATCAGGCACAGCTCAACCTAATGTTGGGGGGCCTCAAGCTGGGAACCTGAACTTTAGCGGCGCATTCGCGAAGCTTTCGCAAAATTTCACTGGTGCTTTCCCGGGAAGCCGTAGCATTTGCAAACATCTGCGCAGCCCATCAGAGCAGCTGCCGGTCGTTGCCTCACTGTCAGGGCTGCGCCTACTCAGGTTGCTAGTCTGTGACAGCGGGGACAGGAATCGGAGAATCCTTTACGCACTGCCAGGGCTCTGAAAGGCTGTTTTATATCAAACTCCTTACACGGTTTTTTCCCTCAACTCCCATAGACATTTCTTGATTAAACTAAATATCTGGAGAACTCAATTGCGTATGTACAGGCTAAGTCGTTATTGAATATAACATAACAAAGTCAAATAAACTCAAGAGACTGAAAAGTGCCCTAGCAAGCCTTCTGTGACCGACTGCGCTTTTCCAATTGCTTAGATGAACGTCAACCACCCTCTCAAACATAGGGGCAACTACTTCAAAGGGACCTCAGGTATACAGAGTAGACCCCAATATCTGGGGTCTAACATGAAAAGCCTATAGCGCAAATATTGATTTGGCCTACCAAGTTAGACGGGGGGGGGTGCAACATCAGCCGGTCTAACGTGGTTTGCTTCCCATATATCTTCTTGCACATCCGATGTTGCTGAGCATGTTAGACCCTCATGTCTTAAAACATTGTAAAGCCAAAGTAAAACAGTATTCATTTTTCTCTTCGCTTTCCTGTCTTCGCTGTCATGTCTTTGAATGTCATTGACCTGACAGGTTTCCCCACAGCCTGCTTTTCAGGCTGAAACCTGCCCTGGGGATCAAAGTAAACATCTATCATTTTAAAAGCCACATCAAGCTAGGGAGGATCACGCTGCCAAGCGTGAGGATCATGTTGGCATGCCTGGCATATTGGAGGGTCTTAGCTTTTGTGGGTCTGACATGCTATGCGTTGAGCTTTGCCGGAGGTGCGTTTGTTTTGATGCTTCTGGGAAACTATTCTTGACCCAGCATAGGTCTGATATGGAACTCAGTGACT